CATCCTGATCTTCTGTCCTGTTGTTTCTCGGATTGGGACAGACATGGATGCAGCCATGGACAGAGTTACAGGTGAGACAGGATTCAGTCTGTGCTGTATGTCACCTTTGCCCTGAAATCCAAATGATACAACAAAGAGGTATTACTGTATGCAGTTCATCTCTACACAGAGGATGTTGTGAATTATTTAAGGTAAGTTACCTATCAGAAGTTCTTCTGTGAAAATACAGTCAGATCTGCTAAGTTCTCCAAGTTTTGCAAATTGATCTGACTCGAAAATGAGTCTGACACGTTCACAAATTATTTGTCTTTGTTTTAATTGCCAGGTAATCTGGTAGAGTAAGTAAATAGAAATTGAATTTACTTTTAAAATAATTGGACTGCCACAGAACTTGACATTCAGTATAATGGAATCAAACAAAGGAATGTATGTTAGATTAAATATAAACCTGACCGCTCATGTTGCGTGTAATAACAGCCCAGGTCTATGCAATCATATACGCTTCTGGAAAAAAAATGGGCCAAAGCTTAATGTTCTGCTATTAGGGTTTGGCCCAGTTTTTGCCCAGTAGTATATTTAAGCCACTAATGCTTGGTACTTTTCTGCAACACATAGTGCTTCTACAACACTGCACATACAGTATTTAAGCAGTATTGAATCTGAATCATCATCATTTGTTTTTTACGAAATCTATAATAAGCACACAGTTTAGATTGGACTCTGAATATATGTAATAAATTTAGTTTATTCAAAGGACATTGGCTTTTATAGGTTTTCTATCCATCCTTCCATGACCATTTGTGCACTACAGGTTAATACTGAGCCAAGAGCCAATCCTAGGAAGCAAACAGCTTTTCTTTGTTTTCACCTTATTTAAGATGTAAAAACCCATGAGGGGAAGCAACAGCATCTATCAGTGCCCACAGTAACCTGTTTGGTTTCTCTCTTCCACAGAAGATAAACCTGTCATCCTGGTGTTCATGCACCACTGTCACCACCCCAGTCACATGACCAACATCACAGTGCAACCATCCAGGAGCAACATAGTGCAAGTCGTCCACTGCGCCTTCCATGAATCTAGAGGGCTGCTGGAATGCAAGGAAAATGAGGAGGCCGTCGACAAGGTGCTTTCAGCACTGCTGAGGTACCACTGATGAAACAGACCCTCTTGAGGGGAAGGAAGTATTAAAACAAAGAGTGTACACACATTCTGGATATTAATCAGCTATCCTGCTATTGGACTGCTACAGATAAAATTTGCCAAACGGGGAGGCCAGCAACCAAAAATCAATATACACTTTATTATAGAATATTCATCAAATCATCATGCACCCTACTGTTTCTGAATCACTGATCTGTACAGTGTTCCTGGGAAGTTTACAAATGGATCATGCTTAGCGAGGTGGTAGATAAGACGGCAGGCAGCTGTGCTCACAAGATGGCTGCTGCAGGCTCCATTATTTTCTCAGCTTCCCTCTTGCACTTCCAGTTTCACTGTCCTATGTACTGCAGCTCTAATTTCGGATTGATCTGTGACCTACCAGGGAAGAGATTTTCAAATGTACATTTATAATGTTTTTGTGGGGAAGTAATAAGATCCATCAAAGTTCAAATATTGTGAATACTTCGCATCACAAAGTGGCAACAAAAAGAAGGATGAGTTTATTAGAGGCTTATGAACTTTGATCCTTGTGGAGAGGATTACTCTATTTGTTATTATTACTGACAGACACAACAGCATTGTGATACCTGGTTAATGCTGTTATTTGGCATGTCCATCTAATCTGACCTCGTTCCACACTTCTGACTTTGAACAGTTTATAGAAATACTAGATGGATGACCTTGAAAAGTGAAAGTGAAAGACATTACTACTAATGCCTTGGCTTGGTGGCTGGTTTGGCTGCTTTTTGGTACACTGGAGCATTTCCAGGATTTCTGTTAGCTAGGTATATTCTAATCTATCATATTACGTATAATTATCTAGCTATAATCCACTTTGCTAAGATGATCACGTTCTTTAATTCCATGGCCTGTGTTACCGATTGCGTATTTTTACGAGCCATAGCGAATGATTTCAGATCTTATGGAATGATTTTGAGAACCATGCACCAAATGGCCGCCTTCTATTTCGTCTGGAAATATTAATGGATTGTTTACTTCAGCTCAGTGCTGATATGAGTGTGGACTTTGACCCAGCTGTGTTTTAATTACGGTCACATTATTTGCGCTTCGCTGATACTCTGTCAAATGTTCCGCACCTAAAATGCATGGTGCACGCATACATAAATGAACCCATTGTTCATTTATCAGAAGAAAAATGACAGACTAAGCGATCATGCATAGGAAAATGCATGGTCAGCATCGGGGGGGGGGGGGGGGGCCCCAATGAGCCAATCTGCAGTTCTCTCCCAGCATATTGGATATGGATAATCTGCTTATCTAATGCCTCGGCCCCCCCCCCCCCCATTAACAACTTTTACCAAATTTATATCGATATGCTTTTATCGTGCATTAAAATTAGGGCTCTTAAAGATTTTTAATAGAAACCAATAGTATTACTTCCTGGTTGTCAACAACACGTGATTTTGCCAAATCCATAAATAAAATCAAATAACTTAGCGTCTCATAGGGAATTTAATGGAGGTTCATTTTTTTTTCTTAAAACATAGACAAAAAACTCACAGTTTTAAAATATCATAATTTGCGATATTTGTTTTATTTTTTTTTAAGAGTAATAACTTAAAATGAGGATCTTTCCATTTAAAACGCACTTTAAATGATTGTCAGGCTTCTGCTGTTAGACCCATTTGTCAAAAAGGTTTTAGATTTAGATTTTAGTTTGTTTGTTCATGAACATGCACCTTCTGCTTTAAGAGCTGAGGCTGTTGGGAATAATGGAAATGGCTGTACTGAATACTTTTAGTTGTATATTTGCCAGCAGAGAAGGAAACCTTGTGTTTGAGTTTCATTTTGAATACATCGTTTAGAGGAAAGTGTGGGTGGCCTCTCACATGTCATGCAGCCCCCCCCATGAAAATCTTGGGCCCGTCTGTAACATTTGTTCATTGCGCCAGAAAGCAGCCCCTCCGAGCCAAGACATTAGTAGTAGAGCCAAAATGATCCCACCTCTTATAACCAATCCTGCACTGAGTGAGGTTAGAACTGCCTACCTAATGAACATACCGAGACAGAAATACAACAAAAACATTAAGATGCTGACCCCCGTCCACCATCTAACGTGGCTACAACGGGAATGTCAGAACTGGACCTTGGGGCAATAGAAGAAAGTCACCTGGTCCAATGAATCTTGTTTTACATAATGTCACATCTGTGCCTCATGTGGATGTCGGCGATTTGTAGTTTGTCCCTCCTCAGACCAGTGACCACCATGACTGACTGGGAGCTCCCCACAAGCCTTGCCCTTTCGGAGATGTTCTGACCCAGTCATCTGGCCATAATGATTTGGGCCCTGTCAGAGTCACTCAGATCTTTATCTCTGCCCATTTTATCTGCATTCGATGTGTCAGTCTTGATACGCACTGTTTTTACAAGATGGTCAACATTATTTGTTTCAGTCAGGGGTGGTCATAATGTTCTGGCTCATCTGCGGACGTATACTGTATATAACACATGCTGATATGTATAAATCTGTCATATTGTTAATTTTTTAAGGTCAGCAGTAAGAATCAGATTTTATAACATAATTTTATTACACACCCATGTCTGTTACACATACTCAGCAGGAATTTACATGCCGAGGTCCCACAATCCAAGGTCCTTTTGACGACATCAGATATGGAGAAACAACCAATGGGTGCTCAGGATGCCAATAGGCCAAACATCACCAGTGACAGCGAGCCAGTGGGTGAGGAGAGTGAATCTGATCAGTGCAAGGATCAACCAAAGAAAGACTCCTGTGGTTCTTCTGCAGGTAAAAGGTGTCTTGGGGCCTGACTGATCTCTGCACAGTTGTGTTCATATTGTGTCCAGATTCATATTACACACCTCCAAACAAAAGACTCAATCCCTGATCCAAAAATATTAGTAGTGCAATATAAGTAGATGTAACAATAAATAAATAAGTAGTAAATAAATAGTGGAATATGTGGATGGGGAAGTCAGTAGGATATGCAAATTGACAATAATACAGTATATAGTCTTGAAATTGTCTTGAAAGTGCAGGTACTATATTAACAATACAGTATTGTGGAATACAGTGGTTATGCAGTAGGTGGACAGGTACAGGGTACTGGCTGTTTATCAGTTTGATGGCCTGAGTAAAGAAGCTGTCTAAAGAAGCTGTCTGAAGCAGGAAGTGCGGGAGGTGATGCACTGGTACCGTTTTCCATATGCCATGCGGGTGAGGGGGACGTGAGCTGGGTGGCTGCTATTCCTGATGAAGGGTACAACTGGTATGGACTGTCCTTTATGGTAGTTTGAGGTCCTGAGTAGAGAGCTGCACTGGGATGATATCTATCCCTATCCGTCCCTGCGAACATCTCCACTGTCCCCACACCATCACCCGTGTGCAAGAAACCCATCCCCACTCCATCTCCTCAAGCAGCAGAACCATCCCAACCACATCCCCACATTCACCTACACACCAACAGTACCATACAAAATTAAACATGTCCATATTTGCCTTTAAATATCTTAATTATTAAAGGATTGAATTTCCATAATTTTCCACATTTGAGAGCGATGCACATACTGTAGTAGCTCAACTCTGTTTTCTTGTGTATTTAAACAAATAGTTCTTCAGCAGCCCTGTACAGCCCCAGGTTACACAGCAACAGCTGGTGTTTGGGTGAGAACAAATAATTTAACAGAACAAATGGACTTTGACTTTAACTGAATTGGCCTGTGCCCTCCACAATGTTTTTCTCCCCTTGACCTGAACACAACACAGAACATTACCAAATGTTACAGGAGAGGTGAAACAACCTCATTAAGTAGAACAACTGAAACAATAGTAGAAGAATACTAACAATACTAGAACTAGAATAAAACTTAAAAAAACAAATCTAGTCATAAAACTTACTGAACTAGACAGTATGGTGCTAGGCATGCTGGGTAATATAAATAAAGCTTGCTGAGAACTGAACTTAACAAGTAAAGTTTACTGTTGACTGATTACAGTTTGTAATGGTTGCTTTGGTAGATTTCTCAGATCAGGAATAAAATTCTCAACTACTTGTTCATTCTCGACACATTTTCAGAGTTTGCAACAACACAATGTATCAACATTCACCATACTAATGCAGTTTCTACAGATAGAATGTACATGCTAGGACAGTGTGTCCCAACCCAGCCCTTGAGGACCCCCAAAGAGCCCACGTATTAAGTCCTTCCCAGCTCCTAGCTAATCAAGAACCCCAAATGCCTGGTACATTCATGGTGGGATCTGGGAGGGAATAAAAATATGGACGGTCTGGGATCCCAGACGACTAGGTTAAGAAACACCACCATAGGGACTGTTTCAGCAGAATCATGGACAGCTGAAATAAAACCTACAACACATGGGAGTTATTATGTATGTTTCTACCCAGATCTAATAATCTTGAGTGAAGGTCAAGCTCCGGAGGTCCAAGAGTCCAATGTTGATGACACCAATGTGGATATGGAGGAGAAGCCAATGGCTGCCCAGGATGGCAAAAGGTCACACATCACCAACGACAGTGAGCGTCCTGGGAAGGGCACTGATCCAGCAGGTAAGGAGAGAGAATTGCATCAGAGGATGTTTGTAGTAGCAGTGGAACATTTCACTGGCCCCTGTGGAGGTAATGGGTGTGTTGGAGCTGGACAGAACTCTACATGCAAACAAACAGGAGGCCATGAGCACAATGTGTACAAGGATAAATAATCCAAATAACAGAATGATAACCACTAATCATTAAAAAGCTGAAGTGTTTACATGTTACAACGCAGGCTTGTATGATAATTATCTGTTTATTAGTTAGTTTTGTGTTATGCAGGTGTCTTTTGACAGGACTTATTTAATTTGAAATAACATATTTTACAATAAAATAATATAAATCTACGTGCCTTGATGATGTCATTCTTTCTATAGACTACCCTTCAGTTGTTTTTAAGCTTGGTAATAAACACAAATTGGTATAACATTTGACCTGAAATGAAATATTTATGGCAGAAATCTTTTCTAACGGAAATGCTGGTCTAGGGCCTAATGAGTAACAGTTACATTTGGAACAGCTGCAGTTATACTCCTAAAATGAAGTAGATGTTTCTGCAGTGAGACACAAGACAAATGAACGTTGCAACACAGAGATGATATATAATGCCTCTTCTAACCTTGATCTCATCCTCTTGTTTGAAGAACTTCCTGCTGAGGTCCCACAACCCGATGTTT